TATAATGAAATCTTTTCATCTGACTTCATATGTAAAACAATAAAAAAATTTACCAAATAAATGTTATGTAGAAAATAATCATTTGCTAGGTGGCTCCTCACAATTTATGAGTTTTTTGCCTATCTCTTATGATACCAGGCCCAAGTCCAGTTGTCTGCCCCCTTTCTAAAGCAAACCATTCAAAAGTCAAATAGTGAAAATCCAAGTCAGCTTTTATTCAGTAACACCAGTGACCTAAGGAAAGATGTTAGGCTGACCCATTTCTCCAGAAAACCTGAAGGAGCATAGCCAGACTAAAGCCGTCTCAAAGACTCAGATTTACTGAGGAGTTTTAATAAGGAGGTTGAGGGAATGGAACATGGGAAATGAAAAGCAGGAGGGAGGTGAGCATGAGCTGTGGGGGTTTCGTGTAAGAAGCCAGGTGCAAGAATTTGCCAAGGCTCATCCGGTTTCTGCTCCTGTCCTTCAAGTTATCTTAGGGTCCTGATTTGAGGTCAAATCAGCATAGCTTTGCTGATGTCTTCCTTGGTTTCCCAGCGACTGGATAGCATGTGTCTTGTACCAATCTGCAGCTGCAGGCTGACTGGGAAATAACTTTACATTTACCTAAACAATGTCATCTTGCCCTGTAACCAGGGTTTGAAACGTCAGATAATCATGGGAAAAGAGGGAACTCAGAGAAATGCATGCTAAGAAAGGCCACACAGTTTTAGTTCCCAGCATGGCTGCAGCAGTCCCCCTCACTTCAACAGCTTCCCCATTGTTAAGAGCTCCTTCCATTTTTATGGAATATGAAAGAAAACTCATCTTACTGTTTTGAGCTGAGNGAGCAAAACAATGACAATCTGAGGAGCCCACTGGAGAATAAACTGCTTTTGGCATAGTATTTAAATGCTGAATACCTGCGCAAATTTAGTTCAATAGCAAATATGTGCCTAATGGGTGCTGAATCTTACAACAGGCATACGCAGTCCAAAAATGGATAAGGCACAGTTACTCCAAAGAACAACACAGTCCTGTAAGATTTAGCCTTATTAAATTATTTTTGTTTATTTATTATAAGGTACTTTACATTTCTGGTTTACATTAAGATCTGGCTAAGACCAGTTTAAAAATATTAGATCCCATTTTTAGTCACACAAAACATCAGATCTCCAGCTGGTAGTAATTTATTTAACAAATGTTTGGCTAAATTGGAAGCAAAGATTTTCATACTATTTTTGAAAAGATTTTAGATATCCCATAATCCACATTTTATAGATAAGAAAGCTGGCAGGAATCTGAATTAAACCCATGTTTCCAAAGTATAGTCAAAAGGCTTTCTACTGCAGTCCACCTGAGAGTTTAGAATACAGATAATGATTATCTCAATTGATTGTGGGATTATTATTTTACCTCGTGCACTAGGGGTAGAATTCATTCTCTGTTTTCCCTGACATGTCTCATGCATTATTTCTTGCTATTAACAGCTTAATAGACATACTCATATTTACTGTGTACTAGTTTTCCAGATCAAGAAATCCGTAAAGTTGCAGTTCAACAATTAGACAACCTCATGAATGATGCACTACTGGAATATCTCCCACAGCTAGTTCAGGTAAGAACAGCAGAGTTGCCAAGGAAAACTAGAATTTTAACTCGTGGTTCTCTAAAATGTTTCCAATGAATCAACAATATTGATTTGATATTGCAATATTGATTGATTTGATTGCAATGATATTGCAGTTTGTCCAGCTTAGTGGCTGAATTACAGCTCACATGTCAACATGGGTAATGCAGACATTCTCTAGCCAAAATTGGTACAGTTACAAAAAAGGTATATAAATGCCAAAAAAGAAAGTATTTTTAAAACAATTTGCTTATTAATCAGAACACAGAAAAAACGGAAATGCTTATAATGAAATCTTTTCATCTGACTTCATATGTAAAACAATAAAAAAATTTACCAAATAAATGTTATGTAGAAAATAATCATTTGCTAGGTGGCTCCTCACAATTTATGAGTTTTTT